GCAGGTTCTTTACTACTAGTGACAAGTGGGCCCTCCATATACTCGATTCCTCAGCTATGGCTCCTCTGTGTCAGCAGATTCAATCAGCCACAGATGGTGTAGTACTGAAATGTTTACCACTGGAAAAAAAATTGAAGTTTAACTGGACCTGCACTGTTCAAACTCATGTTGTTCAAGGGTCATCTTTTTCTTAGTTTGGTCCATTGGAGACTTTCTAAGTGTAGATAATCTAAATAGAGAATTTCCCTCTACTTTCGTCTCCTAACCTTTAGAAAGATACTTAAAGCAATAAACAGAAGAAACTGGTTTTGGCTTGAAACCTCTACACAGTGTGCCCTGGAAACAATACTGGGTGTTGTACAGCTTTGTGAGGTATGTTCTCATTAGATATCTACTTTATACATAGTATCAATAGTGTATATGATTAAAGTTGTTTTTAAACATAGTCCAGAGAACTTGATTTGGGTTAATCTCATCAATGGCTACCAAGAGAGTTCAGCTAATCTAATGAGTCTGCTATATTTCTGACTTTCTAAGTGTCTATTTTAAACACAAGTGTAAGACTAGAAATTTCAGGTTCCCAAGTGGCAGAGGAACCAGAAGTCAAATTACCAACAACCGTTGGATCATGGAGAAAGCCAGGGAATTCCAGAAAAACATTTATTTATGCTTCATTGAATACTAAAGCCTTTGCAAGGAGATCCAACCAGTCCATCCTAAAGGAGATCGGTCCTGAGTGTTCACTGGAAGGACTGATGTTGAAGCTGAAACTCCAGTACTTTGGCCACCTGATAAGAAGAGCTGACTCATTCAAAAAGACCCTGATGCTGGGAAAGATTGAGGGCAGGAGGAGAAGGGGACGACAGAGGATGAGATGGTTGGATGACATCACCAACTCAATGGACATGGGTTTGAGCAGACTCCGGGAGTTGGTGATGGACAGGGGGGCCTGGCGTGCTGTGGTTCATGGGGTTGGAAAGAGTCAGACATGACTGAGTGACTGAACTGAACTGAACTGAAATCCTTTGACTGTATGGATCACAACTGTGTGGAAAATTCTTAAAGAGATGAGAATACAGACCACCTTACCTGCCTCCTGAGAAGCTTGTATGCAGGTCATGAAGCAAGTTAGAACGAGACATGGAACAACTGACTGGTTCAAAATTGGGAAAGGAGTATATCAAGGCTACATATTGTCACCCTGAAGAGTACATCATGTGAAATGAGTGCATCATGTGAAATGCTGCACTGGATGAAGCACAGCTGAAACCAAGATTGCCAGGGGAAATATCAATTACCTCAAACATGCAGATGATACCACCCTTACGGCAAAAAGTGAAGAGGAACTAAAGAGCTTCTTGATGAAGGTGAAAGAGGAAAGTGAAAAACCTGGCTTAAAACTCAACATTCAAAATACTAAGATCATGGCATCTGGTCCCATCACTTCATGCAAAATAGATGGAGAAAAAGTGGAAAGTGACTGATTTTATTTTCTTGGGCTCTAAAATCACTATGGACTGTGACTGCAGCCATGAAATTAAGACACTTTCTCTTGGAAGAAAAGCTATGACAAACCTAGATAGTGTATTAAAAAGCAGAGACATCACTTTGCCAGCAAAGGTCCATATAGTCAAAACTACGGTTTTTCCAGTAGTCATGTACAGATGCGAGAGCTGGACCATAAAGAAGGCTCAGCACAAAGAATTGATGCTTTTGAACTGTGGCACTAGAGAAGACTCTCGAGAGTCCCTTGGACTGCAAGGAGATCAAACCAGTCAATCCTAAAAGAATCAACCCTGAATATTCATTGGAAGGACTGTTGCTGAAGCTCCAACACTTTGGCCACCTGATGCAAAGAGCCAACTCATTGGAAAAGACCCTGATGCTGGGAAAGATGGAGGGCAGGAGGAGAAGAGGATGGCAGAGGATGAGATGGTTGGATGGTATCACCAACTCAATGGACATGAATTTGAGCAAACTCCAGGAAATGGTGGAGGACAGAGAAGCCTGGTATATTATAGGCCATAGGGTCACAAAGAGTTGCAAAGAGACTGGACAACAGTGCTGTGAAGTATGATTTGTAGGCACATTTCTGTAACATCATTAATCAAGGGAGTTAGGACCTCTCACTCTCTTTCTTGCAAGCACACCTATTTCTGCTGGAAGCGAATAAGCAGATAGCAATTGCAGCTGCACAGTGGCTTTTCTGATTTAAGGAACATCGTTAGTCTCATCTTCAAAGCTGGAGTATTATGGCAAAGCTTCAAGGGTGCTTGTAATATGTAGTTTTTGTCAGAGTCAATTACTATTAGAACACATTTTTAAAATGTCATTCAGAAGGCGATTTTTTTGAAAGATAGATTAAAAAATTTTAATAACAACAAAATAAGCCTTTAAGCAAGTGCATTTTCAATAATTGGATAGTATATCCTGGAAAGGTTTCTTCATATTAACCACTGCTGTTTGCAGAACCCAATAGTTCAAATTAGTTTTGCCTCCTTTGATACAAAATAAGGATAAATGAACTCATATTTCTTCTTCCCATGATACATATAAGATGTTGGTCCTTAACATTTACTGAGTCACAGACACTTCAGAGAATATGATATAAGATAAGATATGGTACCTTTTCTAAGAAATGCAGTCAGAAACATACACACAAGTATTAACATAAAGTTTCAGGGATTATGGACTCAAAATCTATCTATAGACACTCAAGTGTCAAAACCCCAATCTAGAGGAGATTGTAGGAGGAAAATAAGTTTTAAGAACTCAAAAAAAAAAAAAAAGAGCTCAAAATTGAAATCTACTCAAGGTCTAAAGAGGAAAAAGTTATGTGTTTATTAATTTGAAACAAATTTACATTAATTTGAAACTAAGTTACTTTGCAGACAGAGTTACTATTTTCAGGAATTTTTTTCTATTTATCTCTTTAATTATATAAACTCCAACAATACATATCTCAAAAATTATTCTAAATTGAACTACAATTCAAAGCACATTCTAAAAGTTTTTTTTATTTGTTTTTGGTTTACTTTTTACAATGAAAACTTGTACTATATTCATTCAAGATTTCTCTGTTAGAACTTTGGGTAATTTTGTTTGGGTTCATTGGCGAAAATATTGTAAAAACCAATTCATTCACATTACCCTGAAGGACAATAACCTAAACCTATTTGTTTCCTTGTATGACAAGGAATTGCTGGATTAATGCCCCTCCAGATTCTAGACCTGCCAAGTGCTATGCAAGAGGTTCACGGGTGCACAGAGTATCTGTTGAATGAAGGGTCCACAAGACTTCCTAAGTAAGTAAACAAGTTGCTTACTTGTTTATTAACTTGATTAAGATATAATTCACATACCATACAGTTCACACATTTAAGGTATACAACTCAATGGTTTTGAGTAGATTTACAGAGTCATGCAACCATCAAAACAATAATTTCAGATAGTTCCATCAACCAGAAACTCTGTACCCATCAGCAGCCACACCCTGTTCCCTACCCCCAGTCATTCAGCCTTTGGAAAACTGTAATCCGCTTTCTATCTCAGTAGATTTGCCTATTTTTTCACTTAGCATAATATTTTCAAGATTCGTCATGCTGTAGCATGTATTAGCACTTCTCTTCTTTTTATGACTAAATAATATCCTACTATATGGCCAGTTTACATTTATTTATGCATTCATCAGTTGATGGACACTTGGATTGTTTCCAATTTGGGGCTGTTATGAATAGTTCTGCTCTAAACATTTGTGTACAAGTTATTGCATTGACTAGTCCCTTAACTTTTAACCAAACAAGGCAAAAAGTAAAAAGAGAAGAATTCTTATAACAAAATTACACAAAATTTGTTTTTCAATAATTTTAGACTTGTCAGGATTCAGCCATTTCATACACATCACAAAGCCTTCCCATGACCAGGAAACTGGTATTATTACTTAATCACAGAATTAGAGGAGGTTAGATCCCTGAAATTCCCACCTTACACTAAGTTAACAATTTGTTGTTGTTGTTCAGTTGCTCAGTTGTGTCCTATTCTGTGACCTCAAGGACTGCAGCATTCCAAGCTTCCCTATCCTTCACGATCTCTCAGAGTTTACTTTCCATTACTGCTGCTTGAATAGAAGGGTAAATAAAGACATCTAGTGGTCTTGAAATTATCATCAGACATTACTGAGCCTCTTGCAAGCAGCAAGGACAACTGTGCACAAGGGCCTTGGACAGAAATGATAATACTGAGTGTGACTTTCTCAGCTCCTTTGACTCCCATTCTGGTCCAAAGTATGTGGTTTCCTCACAAACTCCCAACTGTGTTTTGCCTAAACTTCAATACCCTTTTGCCATTGAAACTTTGCCCCTGGCCACTGCCTTGGCCTCCCCCTGGGGAGCTTTCCAAGCTCACGCATGAGACCCCTACTGCGGACCCTACCCTGTCAACCGTCTCCACTCTACCTCTGAGAGTCTGAATTGAAGCCTTTATCACAGGCTTCCTTGCTGGATAAATGCCCCTCCAAGTTTTAGGTCTGTTAAGTGTTGTGTAAGATGCTTAGGGATGAACAATGAGGATCTGTTGAATGAAGGGTCCATAAGATTTCCTACCACTGCCACGTGTGTGAGGATGAAAGACTCAACATGAATTTATGCATTTATCAATTAATAATTGATGACATATTTCTCAAATGATCAAGGTACTGGGAACCTCAACTTATTGCTGAGCCTCTCTCCTTAGCTATTACAATGTTAACACAAGTTTATTCACTGCAATTGAAATCATTTATCTGATACAGACAGATCCCTGCCATAAGAAGCACATTCCTGAATATTTGACCCATTAGAATCATCAGACAGAAGATCCAAGGAGGGGTTTTAGCCAACTGATTATTCCTTTCCTTTTGTATTTTGGAGCAATCTTACTTTGAATCTCTTTGGATTAGTTTCTATGAAATTCAGTGAGAGTTGCCAGATGGCAGCAGGTAAGGCAAAACATAAAAGGCTGAATCACAGTTTACTGCCGGGGGGTCCTGCCAAGCTTTGCCACTCTTTCAGAGGAGGGTTTCCCTGAGAAGCCAGTTTTTTTAGATAGTCACAAGGCTCCAGTTGGGGAATATCAGGATTCTGCCTGTGGTATTTCTGCAACTTCTCTAGCACTGTGGGCAACCCAACTGTAGAAGCATAGAACATGGGCCCACCCCTCTGCCTTGGCCATCCATACCCATGTAAATAGATAACATCAATGTGCTCTGGGATAGCCGCCATCCCTTCTCCCAAGATGCGGAATGCCTCATTGATGAGCGAATATAGGCAGCGCTCAAGGATCTCATCCCGGCTAATGATACGTGGTTCGATGTGATAGGTTTCCCTGTACTGTGCCAGAAATTGGGAAAGCCAGGGGTCAGGTTTGTGAATCCTCCCCAGGGGCTTATCATAAAGGTACCAACCCTTACCTGCCTTCTGACCAAACCGTCCTGACTCACACAGCATATCAGGAATTGGGCAATATCTCCGGCTGCCTCGCTTCCGGGCAGAACTTCCTGGAGGCAATGTAGGTCCAGTAAGACCTTGCCCTTTGCGAGATTTCCAACCTACATCCAACCCAGCAAGATCAGACACTCTAAAAGGTCCCATTTTGAAACCAAACTCTTCCAGCACCTCATCTATTTCCTCTGGTTTACTGCCTTCTTCTAATAAGAAGTATGTCTGATCATAATAAGACCTGAGCATTCGATTCCCAACAAATCCATAACAATTGCCTACAACTACTCCAATCTTCTTAATCTTTTTTGATAAATTCATAGCCATGGCAATGGTGGTGGGGGAAGAGAATCGGCTGGGAATAACCTCTAACAACTTCATGACATGAGCTGGTGAGAAGAAGTGGGTGCCAATGACCAAGTGAGGACGGTCACTGGAAGAAGCAATCTCATCAATGTCCAGGGCTGAAGTGTTGGTGCATAAAAATGCTTCTGGCTTGCATACAGCTGATAGTTCAGCAAAGACACGCTTCTTCAGGTCCATGTCCTCATACACTGCTTCAATGACTAAATCTACACCATGGAGCTCTTTCATGGATGTAGTTAACCTGGGTTTTGGTCCTGACCAGGGGTGGCCACTCTGCTGCATTTTGGAGGCTTCCTTTTCCAAGATGGAGGTTATAATCTTGCTTGCAGTCTCCAGCTGTTTCTTGTCTGATTCTACAGCAATCACTGGGATCTGGGCCTTTGCAAAAGAGATGACAATGCCTTGGCCCATTGTTCCTAAGCCTGCATATAAGAGTGAAAGAGAAGAAAAATGATTCCATGGTATTGGAAATGGGAAATTGTTCAGTGAATGGAAGATTTCTGTGGAAACATGGCATTCAAAGATAGCAACTCAAGGACTACAGGTGGATTGAATACTAGTTAATGTTAGGAACTGTATTAAGTGCTCCAGGGGGTATAACAATAAAAAGGATTCATACACACGCACTATTCGAAATAGTAAACAAGTTCAGCAAGATTGTAAAGTGCAAGATCAATATATAAAAATCAATTGTATTTCTATAATAAACAATCTAAATATGAAATTAAGAAACAATTCCACTTTTAATAGCATTAAAAAGAATAAAATACTTCAGAATAAATTTGAGGAAGAACTTTAAGACTTGCACACGAGAAACCAAAGAATATTACTGAAAGAAATGAAAGAAAACCTAAATAAATTGAAAGATATCCCATGTTCGTGGATCAAAAGACAATATTGTTAAGATGGCAATACTATCCAAGTAAATCTGCAGATTCAGTGCAATAACTATCAAAAGTCTGACTGATATTGTACAGAAATTAACAAGCTGATTCTAAAAGTCATATAGAAATACAAGAAATGCAGAATAGCCAAAACAGTATAGAGAAAAAAAAAGAACAAAGTTTTAAGATTCATTCTTCCCAATTTCAAAACTTTTGACAAATCTACAGTATTCAAGACAGTGTGACAGTGGCATAAAGGACAGACATTTAGATCAATGAGATAGAATTGAGAGTCTGGAAATAAATTCATACACGTATGGAAAATCAATTTTTAACAATGGTGCCAATAGCGAAAGAATAGAATTTTTCAACAAGCGGTGCTGGGACAACTGGATATTCACACATAAAAGAATGATGTTGAACTTCTACTTCACACCATACATAAAAATTAACTTAAAATGATCAAATGCCAAAGTAAGAGCTAAAACTATAAAACTCTTATGAGGAAATTTTCATGACCTTGGATTAGGCAATGATTTCTTAGAAATGACATCAATAACACAAGCAATAAAAAAAAGGATAAATTGGACATCATCAAAATTAAAAACTTTTGTGTTTCAAAGGACACAAAAAAGAAAGTGAAAAAAACCCACAGGATGGGAAAAAATATTTTCAAATCATATATTAGATAAGGTACTTGTATCAGAATATATAAAGAACTTGAACTCAACAATAAAAAGACAACTGAATTTAAAATTAGGTAAAGGATCTAATAAACATTTCTCCAAAGAAGATATACAAATGGCCAATAAGCATATAAAGAGATGCCTAATACCACTAGTAATTTTGGAAATATAGATCAAAATCCCAGTGAACTACCACTTCATACCCACTAGGATAGCCATAATTAAAAAGACAGATAATAATAAGTTCTGGTGACAATATGGAGAAATTGATTCACTGATGGCAAATTGTAAAATGGTGCTGTTGCTATAGAAAACAAGTTGGAGCTTCCTCAAAATGTTTAACATGGAGTTACCATATGAGTAGGTAAGTAGGTAGTTATATACATAATTCAAGAGAAATGAAGACATACGTCCACACAAAACTTATATACAAATGTTCGTAGTAGCATTATTCAAAATAGTCAGAAAAAAAGAAATAAGCCAGGGACTTCCCTGGTGGTCCAGTGGCTAAGACTCCATGCTCCCAGTACAGGGGGCCTGGGTTTGAATCCTTCTCAGATCCCACTTGCTGCAATTAAGAGCTCACATCCTCACATACCTCAACAAAGTAAGAAGATCCTGTGTGCTGCAACTAAGACCAGGCACAGCCAAATAAGTAAAATTAAATTAAAAAGAAGAAGCAAGCCAAATGTCCATCAACATGAATAAACAAAAGGTAGCATCTCTTTCTGGGGCTACCCAGGTAGTTTCAGCGGTAAAGAATCCACCTGCAAAGGCAGGAGACACAGGTTGGACCCTAGGTCAGGAAGATCCCCTGGAGAAGGGCATGACAACCCATTGCAGTGTTCTTGCCTGGAGAATCCCATGAACAGAGGAGCCTGGCGGGCTACAGTCCATAGGGTCCAAAAAAATCGGATACGACTCAGCATGCATGGACAATATATCTCTCCTTTGGAAAAATCACTCAGCTGTAAAAGTAAATGAGACATCCTATAGTGTGGATGGGCCTTAAAAAACATTATGCTGAGTTAAAGTTGGACCCAAAAAGTTACATATTATATGATTCCATTTATATGAAATGTTCAGAATAGGGAAATCAATAGAGGCAGAAAATTGATTAGTAGTTGCCAGGAGCTGGGAGGAAGGGCAATGAGGAATGACTGCTAATGGGTACAGGGTTTCTTTTTAGGGTGATGAAGAGGTTCTAAAATTGTTTGTGGCATACTTCCCTGGCAATCCAGTGGTTAAGACTGCACACTTCTGATGCAGGGGGCACGGGTTCAATCCCTGGTTGGGGAACTAAGACCCCACAGGCCATGGGACACAGCCAAAAAACTAAAAAAAAATTTTTTTAAGTCTAAAAAAGTAAAATAAAATTGTGGCAATGGTTGGACAACTTTACAAATATCTAAAAACAACTTAAGTGTGCTCCTTTTTTTGGTGACATTGTTACTGTGTATTTTAAAAATGTTTTATGGTAAGATACATATAACATAAAACTTAACATCATAACCATTTTTATGTGTACAGTTCAGAGGCATTAAGCACATTCACAAAGTTGTGTAACCAGCACCATCTTGCACCATTCATCTCTAGAACTCTTCTCACCCTGCAGAACTGAAATTGTGCTCATTAAACCAGAACTCCCCATTTCTCTCCCTGGCAATCATCATTCTACACTCTATAATTGTGAGTACCCTAGATACCTCATAAAAGTGGAATCAAATAGTATTTGTCCTTTTGTGACTAGCTCATTTCACTTAGCAGAAGAGCCTCAAGTGTATTCATGTAGTATGTGTCAGAATTCCCCACCTTTTAAGGCTGAATATTATCCCTTTGAATATACATATGTAGCAAACTTTGTTTATCCATTCATCTGTCAGTGGACATTTGGGTTGCCATTATGCCACTATTGGGAATAATTCTGCTATGTACATGAGTGGACAAATATCTGTTTGAGTTCTTGCCTTCAGTTCTTTTGGATATGCCCAGAAGTGGAATTGTTGGATTGTATGGTAATTCTATTTTTAATTTTTGAAGGAATTGCCATACTGTTTTTCATAGCAGCTGCACCATTTTATGTTGAACTGTACTCTTTAAATGGGTCAATTTCATCACATATGAGTTTCATCTCAAGAAAGCTATAATTAAAAGCTATAATTAAAACTCTGTGTAGTACCAACCCTCAGGACTTCCCTGATGGTTCAGATGTTAAAGAATCTGCCTCCAATGCAGAAGACCAGGGTTCAATCCCTGGGCTAGGAAGATCCCTTGGAGAAGGAAATGGCCACCCATTCCAGTATTCTTGCCTAGAGAATTCCATGGACAGAGGAGCCTGGTGGGCTACAGTCTCTGGAGTCACAAAGAGTTGGACACAGCTGAGTGACTAACACTAACACAACCCTCAAGGATTTTATAATATAGCAATGGGAAGAAGAAAAATTCACAAATATTTACCATGTATGTAAGGTAAGTGATGAGAGAAGTTCTTTGGTGCTTCAAAGGAAAGATGTTAGTTTTGGTTAGGTGAGTCAAGAAAAGCTTCAAGATAAAGAAGAAATATTTGAAGAAATATTTAAAGAAAGGTCATACTGAAACAGTGAAATTGGAAATGATGAACCACCTGGCTGGGGAAGGGAAAAGGAAAGTGAGAAATATTTTAAAGAAAGGCAAGAAGAATGGAAAACATAGAAAAATTTTTTGATGGCAAATATGTTGCCGTTTCTTCCCCACACCATTTCATTTTCTTCTTGGGCACATAGGAGGCTGTACTTTCTAGACCTCTTATACCCCAGTAGGGCCTATAACTAATTCTGGTCAAGGAAATGGGGGAAGGGTGGTATGGGATCACAACTGGCCCCCAAAATCTCCTACAGGATCCTTCATTACCACCTGGGCAGAGAGGATACAGAGATCAACTCTGAGGACTTGGAGGAGACCCTAGCGCAGGTGTTGGCCTGCAGGTCACATCCAGCCCACTGCCTGCTTTTGTACTGCCTGTGAGCTAAGAATGGTTTTATGTTTTAAGTAGATGAAAATTAAAGAGTAAGAATATTTTATGACACCTGAAAATGATATCAAATTCAAATTTCAGTGTCTATAAATAAAGTGTTCCTGGAATCAATCACACTGATTTGTTTTCATATGGTCTGTGGCTATACTGGTCCTCAACAGCAGAGCTGAATTGCAGCAGAGAATGTAAGGCCCCCAAAGCCTAAAACATTTACTGTCTAGCACTTCACAGAAAAGGTTTGCTGACCCTTGTGCAGGGGAATGGTAGAGCCACTAGTTGGAAAGAACCTGGTTTTAGAATTATCTTGAGAGTGAGGAGGAAATACATCTTTATTTTGTTAACCTGGTTTTAGAATTATCTTGAGAGTGAGGAGGAAATAATCTTTATTGTGTTAAGCTGTTGAGGCTGTTACCTGTTACAGCAGCAGGTTATCTGTTACCTGACCAACCTGCTGTGGATGAAGCAGTTCACTGAAAGCTATGTACATATTACTCTTCTGCACTTCACATTGACTAGCTTTAGATCTTTTTTAAAAAACTGAGGTATAGTTGATTTACAATATTCTATTAATGTTAGATATATAACATAGTGATTCAGATTTTTATAGATTATATTCCATTTAAAGTCATTATAAAAATTGGCCATATTCTTCTCTGTGCTGTACAGTGTATCTTGTAACTTATTTATTACATATATAATAATTTATACCTCTTAATCCCTTGTGAGGATTGGTTTTGAATATAGTATGTTATCAATCATTAGAAATCATTGATTTAGTTCCTCTGGAATATATTTAATTTTTAAATCATATTAAATTATTTAATACATATACTGAATTA